TTTTTTACAGAGCTCCTTACTCTCTACTACACCTCCTTATCCACATAAACCAGTAACCACTTCTATCAAAAATACGTTTTCTTCCCTTTTCTTTTTCTTCAGGTTAATACTTCCACTAAACACAACACAAGTATATATATTTCCTCACTAAAATTTGGTCTAACAGCCTCCACACGCGTAACTACTTCCAAGAGTGAATTATTGCAGTCAATCAATATACCCAACAGAACATACAACACATCACATTATAGTTCATCCAACTCAGTACCCAAACACATTCAATTTAATTTATAGGAATCCAACTCAAGCATACTGACATACTTACTTCAAAAATTCATCCATCCTACACACATCATACAAATAATATATATAAAAACATAGTTAGCTCCCCTTACCTTGAAGATGAGCAGTATATCCTACTGGAGTTCCCTAACAGTACCCTCCACACAGAGCGGAACTTGACAGAACCTACAAATCACCATATTGGTGATAAAACATAGCTCTTAGAGCCCAAATAGACAGAGAATGGAAGGAAAACGTACAAGGTACGTGAACCCAGCAAATTCACATGCCCTATGTTCTAGAACAGTGAAAGAGAAGGGGAAAAGGAAACTTACCGATTGGAACAGGAAATTGTTCCCTGGAAACGAAACCCCCTACTCCACAGACACTTAGGCAGCACCAGAATCAACTTTCTATGGTTCCAAGTTCAGAGTATCTAGAGAGAAGGCAGAGAAAACCTTTAGGGCAAGAGTTTCTTTTTTTTTTTTTAGAGTGAGAAAGGAAAAATAGAAATGAGGCTTTTGCTTTTGGGGAATGACCCCTGCTAAGGTCAGATTCCCTTAGTCTGGGCCTGGTTGCCTCCATCTAGGCCCAATGGCCTTATAATTTTTCAGGCCCTCACAGAGTACAAGATAACAATGAGATAAAAGTGAAAAAATTATATAAAATATTATATAATTTCACGTAAATAAAATTTTATAACAATCAAAATATTTATTAATTTTGCAAACATTAATAATAAATTAAAGACAGAAATAATGTCATTCAAGTAACTTAAGATCCAAATAATAGTATCGAAAGAAGTGAAAATAATGTAATGAATTATTTTTAGTAAAAGTAACTTTTATAAAAGAAAACTTATAATATTTGCAACCAAATATTTTAAAATATTAATAAATTTTAAAATCCCTTCTTCTATTGGCCAAAGCACCGATCATGTGAAGAAAACAGTGGAGGCATTAATAATTTGGTTTCGTACATTATTTTTCTCCATTTCACATTTGCTTTTTCACTACTTCTACGTACAACACTTGCTGCTGGCAGCGATAAGCGTTGAAGTCCATTTATGAGTAATTCACACCATCTTTTTATAATAGATAATTTAAAATTTTCTAAAAATATAATACATCGATTTTTAATTTTATAGCTTAATTTTTTAAAGGATTAAATATGTTTTTAGTTCCTAAATTATTGGTCGTTTCTGATTTTCGTCTCTCTTTCAAAATAAGGTACAATTTGGTCCTCATTCTTTTCGAAACTTTGCTTTTTAGTCCTCAAAAACTAACACCGTTAAAAATGTGATAGTTTTTTAGACTAGTTTTCGAGGAATAAAACTAAAATTTCGAGAACTAAAACCAAAATTTCGAAAAGAATAAAGATTAAATTATACCTTATTTTAAAAAAGGGACAAAAACTAGAAGCGGTCAATAATTTAGGAACTAAAAACATATTTAATTTTTTTAAAATAATGTGTTACATAATTTAGCGTTTAAATGGCAGCCTAATACATAAATGCATATATAGGTTTGATTTTATATTTAAATTTAGGAACAGGGATATAAGATAATGAGACAAGAGTTGGGGAATTGAAAAAAACGTGTTGCGTAAAGTGCAGCAGAAAGACAGACACATTTCTGCCACGGTTTTTACCAACCTGTCGTCTTCGCATTGAAGTATAGT